TATATTTATTTTATGGTAATTTGTGTTTTGTGGGAATTCTCAAAGCATTTATTTGGGTAAAACTACAAATTATAATTTTTACACTTGCTTTTTATTGTTTCACCTCATAAATTTTTTCATACTATGTTGAGATAATCGAAATATGGATAAAAGGAACATAATTCAAGATGTAATTCACTCTATTTTCTTCATATGGATATTAACTTCACTAAATGAGTTTAGTCTTTAAAATGAGATGATCATATAGTACACACCAACATTAATCATTACTTTATTCTTAATTTTTTTATATTCATATTTATTTTATGGTAATTTGTGTTTTGTGGGAATTCTCAAAGCATTTATTTGGGTAAAACTACAAATTATAATTTTTACACTTGCTTTTTATTGTTTCACCTCATAAATTATGACTTTACCCTTGTTATTTAACCTTTAATTTCAAAAATTACAACTCTATCCTTGTTGTTTACCATTGCACCTCGAGAATAATGCTGCATTATTACTCCCATGCATTACTAATTGCATGTCACATGTGCTTGTGGCTCGCAGCAGGCATTATGCGCACTGGGTATTTACAGATTCAACAAGAACACATGTGAGTAATAAGGCAACGTTATGATAAAATGCAGGGGTAGAGTCATAATTTTCGAAATGAGATGAATTAAATCAAGGATAAAATCATAACTTTTGAGATGAAACTGTAAAAGGAAAGGGTATAATTGTAATTTATGGTTTTCCTTATAAGTGCTATGATAATCTCTACAAAAACATAAATTATCTCAAAATAAATATAAACACCAAAAATTAAGAACAAAATAATGATTGATGCTTATGCATCTACTGTGTGACTAGTCAGTTGTCTTTTCAAAAACTAAACTCATTTAGTGGAATAAGTATTCATCCGAAAGAGGACAACATCAACCTCTCCTCTCCAAAATCCTTCGTAACAAAATAATGAGAAAAAAAGATTTGATTAGGAGGTTTAAATCAAAAGTAAAGATTGGAATACCATTAACATAAAAACAAAACAGAATAAATCTGTTCCCTATCTTCATTATATTCATTGATTTGAAAACCAAAAAATAGAATTACAAAATCAAAATTTTCATGACGTATGCTTAGTTTGTAAAAGGATCCAACCAGCATGCACCCCTTCCATTCTTGTCCAGGCTTGACAAGTTCATGTTGGTCCGTATAGATTTTTTCTTCTAGATCTCCATGAAGAAAAACAATGTCTACATCCATTTGATGAACTACAAGTTTGTAGATAGAAACAAAAGCAAGTAGGACACGGATGATAATAATCCATGCTATAGGCGTATACATGTCAAAATAATCGATGTATGTTTTTTGCCTGAGCCTTTAAGCTATATGTGTAGCCTGATATTTTTTTATCATACCATCGATCCTAGTATTCATTTTGAAAATCCACTTATATTCTAGGGGTTTGTTTGCAAGAGATAAATAAGTGACAATCCAAGTATTATTACTTGTAATGGATTCAATTTTACAATTCACCGTCTCCTTCCAAAAGGAAACATAGCACAACGCCTCTTGAAATGAACTTAGTGTATCTTCTACTAAGTATGAGACAATTTTCACCAAAGTTTCTTGTAATCCAAGCTTTCATGCTTCTCTTGGGTTCAGGTTTAAGATAAGTTCTATAGGGTTGGAATAGGTGAAGAAGAATGATGTAGGACAATGGTATGTATTTTATATCTAAAAGGAAATATGCTTTCAAAAAATAATACAATTTTAGATTCAATCAAGATATCATTTGAGATTCAAAATTTTCAGAATTCATTACAATTTACAAGTAATCTATAGTTAATGCTATATAGGGAATATCTACAGTTGAAGGACCTCTCTTCCTTCCTTTTAGGCTCAAGGATATCAATCTTAATTCAATACCCTACATTCGGAAGTAACTAAGCTTCGGTTTGTATCCGTTCCAAAATTCATAAGAAGTTACATCATTATTCTCTTAGAAAATTCCATACAGACAGATAAAAGAGCATTCCCATAAATTTTGGGTTAGTCTTAAGCTAAGGTGAGTAGAGAGCAATAACTTCATGAATTATATTATGATCTTCACATAGCTTGGCAAATTTATTTGAAGTATACTCACCTTCTCTATTGGACTTTAAGATTTTAAATCTCTTATCAAATTAGATTTTAGTCTGAGCCTCAAAGATCTTAATTTGTGAAGAACTTCATCCTTAGACTTTAAAAAGACAAGTATAGCAAAATCTAGATAATAGATAACTTTAACAAAAACTCAACTTAATTAAACTTAGACAATATTCAAATTAAATGTTCATGAAAAAGATGATATCATAATAATGCATTTTTTCAAAACCAATACTAAATCGCAATTTTTTTTTTTAACAAACAACAAACACTTATAAGAAATAAGCATGTATATGAACTTTTTTTTTTCCAGTGGTTAGCATCCTGTTTCATATTAATCAGAGGCAAGGAACAAGCTGTGTATCTTGGACAGTTCAATTTGTGTTGATTCACAATGATCCCAAAATCAAATCAAAAGGTTCAAATGTTTTTTTTCTCGAAATTGAAACTGATTTGGAGGCCTCAAAAACTTATCTTCAACAAAGAAGAAGAAAAACCTCAGTTTCTTTAAGAATTTTTAAATAGGAGTGTCTTTGAATTTTATGTCAGTTGTTTACACCTGTCAATAAGATAAAAGTATAGTGGATTTGATGATTTTATTGGGCTTCTCAATTGTTTTAAAATTTTAAGCTTTCATTCCATAAAGTTATGCTCATCTATCATGTCCTTTGGAATGAAATAAAAGACGAGATCTTTAAAATTTCTTAATATACAAGTGCTATCCCAAGATTTAAAGTATTTTATAGTTTTCCAATAAATAATTTAAAACTACTTTAAAAATCAAGAAATGAAAGGGTACAAATAAGTGACCCAAGTTCAAAGTTCCCATATAAAGCTTAATAGGAAGCAAACAATAAAACATATTTAACAATTAACAATTATTGCTTTCAATTCCAAGGAAACCAAAAAGCAAACTAAGATCAAACGATGCAGCAGCATGCGTCATCAGTGAATTACCACAGGGAATAACATGAGTATGTTGAGAAGGATAAAGACAAAAGTATGCATAGGATAAATGCATCAAAACTAAAAATTACCATGGGAAGGCTCCACATCCAAGATTAGATCAAGAGCATAGGCATAGTAGGGTACTTGACTGCTTAGACCACATAAGTTAAAATCATCTTGTATGTACTCATCATCAACCTCACAGAAGAACTCATTGCCTTTTAGATTACACAACCATGAAATCCAAGATGTGTCTTCCCCATCAGAACCACTGACATCTGACTCTTCACTATCTGTTTCTGATTCTTTTTGCGGCTCCAGGAATAGTAATGAAAGCATCGTCAGAAAGCTTACAGGTATAAATATGACAGGACTCACATGAGAATACAGATGATGAAGTCAACATATACCACCACCAACAGAAATCAGCAATCTCTCCACACCATGACTAGAAGCAAGTAAGCCAGCATATGTTTGGTGGATTAATAAGAGGAAGAGAGAATGAAAAATTATCATCACATTTACAAAACCATGATCATGACACAATCAAGATGCATGTGCACTAATTCTCAAAAAAGCACAAGAAAAATCAACTGAGAACTAGATTGCACTATATTTCATCTCTATGGCATTTCTCACCAACTCCAGACCAATGAATTTTAGCATCAAATATTCCACACAAGTTACGATCTCAATTCAAAAACTGAAGACATATATACAATTTATAGTTGATCATACAATATATACTTGCCTCATAAAGTTTATCACTGAAATAGTTCCTAAATGAGAATAATTGATATCCTGTAATTCTTTTTATTTTACCTTGGCACATATTTATTTAGTAACAATTTATAGTCGATTGTATAATTCTTGATTCGTACTTAGCTAAAAACTATTTGGATTCTTATGATTGACCACATATGCTTCACATAATGTACATACATTATGTGATACTTTAACCACCAGCATTTCATGTCCGCTTCCAAACATTCTAGCTAGGAATAAAGGAAGTGTGCGTATGGAAATGCTTTAATTTCCTACAGTCTGGAACTCACCTCTTAAGAAAGATTTCGATATCCTATTAAACCTGAGATTGGGAAAGCAAAGAGTTCCTTTTGCCATTCCCTAAACACACATAGCCTAACTTACTGTGATCATCGTATCAGTACTCAAGTTAGATGCAATATAATCAAAACTGTCAAAAAAACAATAAATGACCTAAATATAAACAGTTGACAAATATAAAGTGTCAATACATTACTAAGGACTTGGTTTATAATATGTGCCATCCAATGTTAGCCGCAAAATGTCATCACCACTACAAAAGCTTGATGCAAATACTAAATGGTAGTGCAAAAAAAGAATGCCATTGAACCAAGCAATGACTTGTTAATCACTTAAAGAAAGATATTTGTATCCTAAACCTGATAATGCAACATCAAATAGAACTTGCAAACAGATGAGAAGGGGAGATTAAATAAGAATTCCAACTGTTACCATACAAAAAAACATTGCATGCTGATGGTTTAATAATTAAAAATAGCATGTGACAAGAAAAATATGAAACAAATAAATCTTCATCCGTCTTCTTAAAAATGATGCCAGTATTAAAACATCAAGCAAACTATCTAACTCTACCAAAACACGAAATTTCATCCAAAATTACAATTTTTTTCAGTATATATTTAAAGACAAAATCTGGTATATCGGCAGGAAACAAAATCACCAATTTCACATGCTAACTATACCACAAATAACTAAACCTAAGTAACTGGAGACATCAAGAGTGGTAATCTAATTTTACTGCATTATTACACCAAATACATCTGTTCATTTACTTTAAAATTTCATACACTAACAAAAACCCTAAACAATTCGATGATGAGAACTTGTTAAAAGATCCAAAGAAACAGATCCATTTATTCTCCAAATATAGAAGAACACACAACACTAAGTGAGATAGCAGAAAATACAGAAAATCTAACCATCTGAGTACTTGTTTTTGGAAAGAGAAGCAGAACGCTGGTCTTGGTGCTCGAGGTGCTTTCCGGAAGAGGTGGACGGCACCGACAGCCTATCCCTCTCCCTCTCCCTGCGGTTCAAGACCTCCGACGTCGCCGTTGACGATCTCTCCAGGTGTTTGTCGAGGGCGCCATTGATCCGCCTACGATATGAGGCTCCGGTCTCCACCCTCGACCCATTCCCTCCCCGATCCCTATGCATACCTCCCTCCTCTTCGCCCCTAACAACCCCCCTTTCCCAAAGCCTGCGAGAGATCAACTCAGCTCCCCTTGTCGCGACGAAACAGAACACCAACCCACAAATCCGAATGATACCGCCAATCCGATGCCAGGAAATGCTTGGTTGCACAAATATGACGAAAAATAAAGGAGAGAAACCTCGGAATTTGATCGAAAATTACGGTTTCGCTCCTATCATTCTCCGAGAGGAGACGAGGGAGCTGCTCTTCCCTTCGCGATCGGAAGGGCAAATGCTACAGACGAAGGGAAGCGGCAGGGCCGGCGTCGTCATTACGAGGCAATCGGGGATCAAGGATAGACGAATGCTTCCCTCACTCGTCACACCGTTACTCTCAGTCGTACCCTAACAGGCGACGGTCTTAACACTGATCCTTCTTAAAATTCTCCAATCATCTAACGAGTGCACCCACGAGTAATCAGTAACGAAGTGAGAGAAGGAATTGCTCGAAATGAATAAGAGAATGGTAGCGCATCTGGGCCGTTCATCTCGCCTATGTCTTTTGTTTCGTCGGTAGTTTCAAGCGCCTGAGGGTCGCTTACGTTCCCCTAGGAGAATGTGCCGGTGGGATCGGGTGCAAATTCCAGCCTCACAATCAAGTAGTGCAAGGCCACTCAGAGGACGAAAAGTGTGGATTATGATCTCACTTTCCCTAATTTGAACACAGATTTGAGAGCAATTAGGAATCTTTTTGTTCTATTGTTGACGGATTTGGTTCAAGGATGCACCATATGTACATATAAGCCTGTAATGGGCTTTGTCTGTGAACAAGACAAACGTACCGATTTGAGCCTGCGAAGAAATATTTCACATATTAATTTATAATTATTTCGGTAGAGGATAAAATAAATATATATAAATATATATTTTAATTTAACTAAATATATAATTTTTAACACGTATCATATTAGAATTCGTTGGGACAGATACGTTACTTGCAAGCTTATAAACGACACCTCTTGAAATCAAATTAAATTTTGTGGACCTAATCAAGATTTGCTCCAAAAGTCACGGTCTAACACTGTGACACGCAATCCATATAATAAGTACACATAAAGGTCAATAACACTGCACGATCGGTTTAATATAGCCAACTGACACATTACTATTAATATTCTCCCAAAGCATGAACCATAAGGTATTAAGAAGCAGGTAAAGTGGTCGGAACTGTTAATGATTTCCTTGTCGGGTGGGAATTAATTGCATCACGTGACTGGCAGCATTGCCAATGTGACTCTGATTAAGATCTAATTGTTAAGCTTTAGATACAGTTTCATTGACCAATATTTAAGCAGCTGCAAGAAATCCTCTCATTTGGCAAGACATCATTAATTGCTGTGAAAGTGGCCCACCGGCTTTGTGCATATGCGTCAAACAGAACAGTGCAGCAGCAAAAACTGATTGCATCCACCGAATCCCCGACGTAAATATATTGTATACAAAGGAAAGGAAAACATAAACGTGAATTTTATTGGCTGGCTTAGATAGAGATGATCCAACACGTAAATTTTAGTGTCTTGAACAAGTCATCACCTCATCAACGGGTCTTCGACCAAGCCATTTGGTTTCGAAGAGTTCGCCAGATCGATCACCTCTTCACTACCGCAGGTGCGTACCTCTCTCGGAACTTAGGAGATCGAACATGGGCTTCCGCCGCCACGGCTTCGTCGTCTCGGGTTGCGCCGCTGGCTTTCTTGTGGTCACCGTGTTGGTGTCCGATAGCTTATGGCTGCCGCAGGTGTCTGTACTACCCATGTTTCGCCTGGTACGTACGTACGTGCCCCTGCTCAAAATACGTTGTGCAGTTTCCATCTCACGGCTCGCACACAGTTTGAGGAAATCTGTAATCATCTCACGGCTTGCACACAGTTCGCCTATTAGTTCTAGTCTTGGGATTTCAACAGGTTTTGTTGATGGGACTGCCCAACATCATCCCATGCTTCGGGTTTCTCGATATGTAAGCTTCTGGTTTGTCTTTATCTCCACCACCGGGCAATGATAGAGGCATTTCATTGTCCGTAATTTCCCTTTTCAAGGATTCAGCAGAACCTCTGTTTTGTGAGTGTCAGAGTGTCATTTACATGCTATCTACAGGGAGTCCTAAAGCTCGCGTGGGTTGTTGATTCCCCAAAATGATTCATTCAGACTGCTCTTTCTTGGAAGAGACACAAGGGCTGCTGCTGCTGCTTGATTGTCGAGTACTATACAAATCCTTCCCCATAGAATAGAAGCCCAGTCATTCTTCGTCAACTTAGAGTGATCACTAAGAGAAATATTTTTGAATTTGAAACATACTCAAAAATAAGTATTTAAAACCTTTTCCACATAAAAGGAAATCGATGTCGGGTTCTAAGATGTGACAAAGTATCTAATGAGATAATTAATATAATAGTTTTGATTGGTGTGAAGTAGACAACTATAAATGAAGTATTATGACGTAAGATAACTTAATAATTTTATTAGAGTATGAACTACAAACTCAAAAGTTTTAAATCCAAAATAATAATCTTATGCTCATTAAATAAATCTCAATCTTAATTTTTACTCACTTTCAACTTCGGATTAAACCAAAGTGTTATACGAAGTTGTGAAGCATATTTATTGTGTGGACATTCTTTGGTTTGGTTATTGCAGACAATAAAACACTTACGTACAGACTACTTCAGAACTCCCCAAGGAAATCATCCATCTTGTGTAGATTTTAAATACCAGAGAATGGCGCAACTTTGCTTTATTTCTTTCTACTTTTTTCTATATTTCCTTGTTGTACATGTCCACAGACGAATCCAAAAGATGGACTTGGGATAGAATTAGAGGGAGCTTCCACGAGGAACAAGACCTTGATAATAGGAGTGATCAACGAGGCCTCTGTGGAAGACAATGGAATGCTGCAGCTTTTCCTCCAAAGCATGCGAGAAGGGGAGGATACTGCGTTCTTGATCAGACACGTTCTCCTCGTCGCCACCGATCAGATTGCATACAACCACTGCATGGTTCTTCAACTCCATTGCCATCAGCTTTACACTGACGCTCTTCTCCTTTCTCCGGCCTTAAGCATCCAATCTGCAAGCTTAATCAGCCTCGCTTCGACGCTAACCCTATTCCTTGGAGAAGTTCTCTTGCGTGGGTACAGCTTCATCTTCACAGTAAGTTTCTTCACACCGATTCCATCGATTACTGCCAACACCATGGAAAAAGACCCGAATAGTTTTTGTCGGCTTGCGAAGTTTATATTGGGTTCGCAGCCTTACATATTTCTCTGCTTGCAGGATATGAATGTCATGTGGCTAAGAAACCCATTCGCAAGGTTGAATCACAATGGAGAAGACATGCTGTTAAGTGGCGATCTTTACGACAGTGGCTTATACTTTGTTTCTTCAAATACGAAGACCATGGCCTTGTTCAAGCAATCATATGCTGTGATGAATGAGTCAAGAAGCATGAAGGGAGATGATGTGCTTCATCTTATGAGATCTAAAAGGTTCATCCAGCAGTTGGACATGAAAGTGGGATACTTGGACACAGCACATTTCACCAATTTTTGTCAGGGTACTCTTGATATTGCAAAGGCCGCCACAGTGCATGCAAACTGCTGCCCCAGCAGCAAAGCAAAGTTTGCTGATCTCACAGCCACCTTAGATGTCTGGAAAACATATAATAATGGAACACCTAATGTCACATTCTCTGCTCACAGTTCTTGTGCCAAATCATGGAAGGTCAGTTCTACGTTTATCATACAAGTAAGGTTATGTTTCGTAATAGAGTTCAGAATTCTTTCAGGCTCATGCATCATCTTGTTGCTCATGCCCAGACTCATCAGCTGAAAACATCTCTGCAAGCTGCTGCTATGGGGAACAAGACATTGGTCATCAGTTACTTGAATAAGGCATATGTTGAAGAGAACGGCATGCTCGATCTTTTCCTAAGAACCTTGAAGGAAGGGGAGGATACTGCATTCTTGATCACCCACCTCTTCCTCATCACAGTCGATCAGACTGCGTTCGACCGCTGTAAAATGCACAGACTTCATTGCTACAGGCTTGTTTCTGAGGGTCTCAATTTCTCCAAAGAGCAGCTCTTCATGTCTGATGGATACATCAATTTGGTGTGGCAAAAAGTTGTGGTTCTTGGAGAAGTTCTCAAGCATGGATACAACTTCATTTTCACGGTAGGTTAAATTACCCATCTAACTTTGCTTTGGTTTGCCTGATGCTCATCATTCAATCCCTCATTTTGGTATGGTAAAACAAAGGCCTCAGAGGTCAAACGATGGCTTGAAAACCAAAAGACATTTAATTCATCTAAGATCTTCTTCTGTTTCTGTAATCAGGATATGGACATAATGTGGCTAAGGAATCCATTCTCCAGGTTGAGTCTCTATGGGGAGGACTTGCAGATAAGCTGTGATTATTACAATGGCAGGCCTTACGATGATTCCAATCACATCAACACTGGCTTTTTCTATGTGGCCTCAAATAACAAGACCATCAAGCTGTTCGACATGTGGTTCGAATCAAGAAAAACCCTCAGAAGGATGCACGATCAAGATGTTCTGGCGTTTCTGAAATCTAATGGAGTCTTCAAGCGGCTGGGCGTGAGTGTTCGGTTCTTGGACACCCTCTACTTCAGCGGATTCTGTCAAGTCACCAAGAACTCCAAGGAAGTGATTACAGTGCATGCGAACTGTTGTCGAAGCATAAAAGCGAAGGTAGATGACCTGACCGAAACCCTAGAAGCCTAGAAGAAGTTGAAGGGCACAACAACAGTTGGCTGGCCGCAGCACAGAGCATGTAGTCAATCATGGAGCGCATGACTGCCAAATGTAGCGTCCGAATCTTGTATTTGTTGACGTTATATAGATTACAATGCCTGTTTTGATGATATCCAACGTTGATGTCAATATCTGATGTCATGTTAAGAAGCTTGGTTGGATGACGAAATCATTTCAAATAAGAGTTCGCAGAAACCTCTGCGCCCTCTGTAAATATAAAGTTTAGATGAGCCATGCCTGAAAAGGGAATCATAAAAGAGGTTCAATACAAGCACGGACATTGCCGCAGTGTGAGCTTGTGCAGGCATCCGCCCTACAAAATATCATGCCATAGTACTGTATTATCAAGATCAACAACATTAAGAATCTAAAATGCGATTTCAGGGTGCAAGTGGAGGAGCATGATCTGCCAAAAACAAGAGCAGAATATATAGATCCCAAGTTAATATTTCTGCAAGCAATGTTTTACTGATCAAACAGCATCAAAATACACTGCAAGGCTACAACTCCAATGGCAATACATACAAACTTCACTGCTAACGGAAGCTCCCGCTTTCACCCTGAGCCATATCATGAACTCTTGCCAGGCTATACAAGTAGGAGAGCAGCCCAATCTCAATTCCAACTGTGAATGTCGTTTTCAGATTACAGGTAACACGAGGCCGAATAGTAAGTAGTACTTCAGGAGGCAAGGAGTTGGTAAGAGTAGTTGACATCAAATGCCCATCAGTTAAGCACTAATCTTCGGATTATGTCGTAAGGGAAAGAAAGGATATGCCCGTACAACTACATTATCCATACTATATTCTCAATGAATTTTCGGCTTATTCCTCAAACTTGATGACTGAAATCTGGAAGAACTCTCTTCTATTTCAGCAACCACACTCTCTGCCAGAGAACTGGATTTCTCTTTCCATGGATGGCAGTGCAGGAGTTCTGCCTCCGGGAATGATGCATTGCTAGGAACATTGAGAAGCAAATCATGATCAGAACTATCAGCAGTATACCGCGAAGGAACTGACATGGAGCATATATCCAGAGGAGATGCCTGAAAATTCCTGTGTCTGAAGTGATCGCATTCGTTTTTCTCAAAGCTATCTTCATTGTTGGTTAATTTTGACCTTGTATCACTAGATTCAAGATGATGTAAATTGTTTGAAGGAGAACTCGAGACCACATGTTTACAAGCTCTCTTAGGGCTTTTAGTGGTGGCTTTCAGATCTGAAATTCAAAAAATAACTAATCTGCTTATCAGACAAAAAATTAACTGCATATAGCTCTTTGCATCAAGTATATATACTAAAGGAATAATTTAATTGTCTTATAGAAATTATATTCTTATCATCAATGGAATTATCAAGAGGAAATTCTTTTCAGGAGGCCACTAAATTTCTCAATTAAAGTACCAGATTTTAAAGCCTTTAGTCCGATGTAAATTACTGAACACATAAGGCAGTTAAATTATTTGATGCATGAGCATGATGAAACACAAAGATCAAAATGAGAAAACAAAACCAATGGTGGTAGTGAAGAAGACAACTTTGCAAATTGCAAAACCATGAGCATTGAGCATCTGATGGGGTTGTATACTCCTAAGAAGTTACGCCAAAACATTGTGCCAGTGAGCCTAGGGCAACTTAACACTCGTTCGATGTTTTATTTTGGGCATCCAACTTAACTAGCCTTATAGAACTGAAGTTCTAGCTTGCTATCCTTAATCAATTTGATGTCATGAGATAAAATCAAGGTAAGATGATAAATATTTCTTCCAAGTGTTTTACCATAGATCACTGGGTCCTGAATTCTGGATATCGTTACCTATTTCTTGAGATACAAACTAGCTTCCTCAAAAGCATATGAGCAAATTTTATCAGCTCAGAGAGCAGTGATGGTACTTTTATGCAGAAGTGTCAGATCATGAGAGGCAAACATAACAGTTGCTGGAAATCTTATCATAATTCTTTGTACAACCACTTAACCAAGTGAACATATGATAAATGAGGACACTTAAGGATTCACAGAATGGAAGAGCACTTCTTATTTACTGAAGATGCATGAGATTGGCAAGACAGTACATCTCTACTGCCAGCATTCAAGCATATAATTGGTATAACAATAATGATCACTGTGTTTGGTAGCTTATGCCAACTTTAACTGTGATTCAGTGATTTAACTGCATGAATTCTGGAAGAGGAACCACCTACTTCCAGCACTACATCAAGACAGATATCTGCCACTTGGAACCGTTAAAATTAATTTCCCAACATAAATGACTTTCTTTAACATTAGCCTGATGACAATCATTCCCTTACTGGTTCAATCAGCTAATTGAATAAGTAAACAATCCCGAATAAAAAGTATGACTTATTCTTGATGAAGCCTGTACTTGTCATGAAAATTATAGCCAGTTTTTGGTAGGCAACATCATCAACCACCATAAACCTTTGGCTAGAAGTTCATCAATAACTAGCCACCATTAGTCCATCAAAGCTCCCAGCATTTGAGGAGTCAAAAACAAATCAAGAAAATTAGTATGATTTAGTCCACCTGAGGTGCTAGCACTAGTTATGTAATAACAAGCATACATAAAGATATTAAGGATATGGGAGCTTCTGAGAAATTCCCCTATCCGCAAAGTTTTAAATGCATAATCATACCACACACAATCATGCATGTTCCTGTACAAACAAAAGTGTTCAAAGGCAGCTCAAACTTATAGTTTAGTAATATAGTAAAGCACTTTGGTTTAAGATCTGGAATATGGTCCTGCATCTAAACACAAAAACCTCCGATGCCATTAACCAACTATTTTCTAAGGATCAAACACAGATTCTGACAGCATTAAGAATTAAAGATGGATGCCTTGTAGGTAAAGATACTCCAAGTAGAGAAGGAAAAGTTATCACAAATCAAGATGACAAAAGCAAAGAGAAGAAAGAAACTACAACAGAGAAGTGATGAGATCAAACCTGAAGAATTCTGGTTTCGACTGTCATGAGGCCTTTTGATGGATACCAAATTGTCAATTCCAGGAAATTTTGATCCTATAGCTTTACCCTTTCGTCCTTTTATCTGTTTACATGTTTATTCCCTGATCATCAGAAACTCACTTGCAAATATTTTATCATGCCCAAAGAAGTCCCTGAAGAATCTAGAACATAGATTAATAGGTAAAACTTATGGGTCAATACCTTTAATTTTTCATAGTACTCCACCCATCTAAATCTTTTCAAGTCATGTAATATGAGTCTCTTTAATGTCCTACAGTCTTCAACATTCGCTTCTGAGAAGGAGAGATCAAAAGTTCCTTCCTGAAGCAATTGCTGGAAATCTGACAATGTCTCGCAGAATTGGGGACTTCTAAACATGGTTCTGAGGCTGCACATTCAAGAATAGAACAAGACAATTACAAAAATAGTGCAGTTTTAAATTACAAGGCAATAAAGACAAATTAATTTTTACTAAAGGAAAGAACCTTTCTGGAGATCTGACAGTATCTATGGAAGGCAGATATGTCATCAACAACTGCTTTTCCTCATTTGCTAAGTATTTCATAAAAATATCAAAATTGATGATATCCTGCATAAAGATGAACAGTTATAGTGAAAGCTCAATTTTACAATATAAGTTAGTATAGTAAAATTTACTAACTACTCGTGGTTATTACATTTGTCAAGTGCATCCATTTACCTTGAATTAGTCATCAAACAAATATAACAGAAGCTCTAATCTTACATTTAGATCTGCAGAGAGCAAGGGTGAGTCTTTGTCTTGCAGGATCTTTAACTTCTCACCAAAAGTCTTATCCCTGCAAAGAATAACATAGACAATACATGGGCAAGATTTGTAAATTAAGTCACACAATAATTTGTGCATATACCAAAACTGATGAAAAGTAATATTTTGAAACAAGTCAGAACAAAAAAACATCACTTGTAAAGTGTGTAAAGCACCTCATAGCAGTCTCTTGGGACATATGTTGTGTCAAGTTCTTAAGCTTGTGAGTGCCACTGTCTGAGAAGTTTTTTCCCTTGCTTTTGGTGTCTAAAGGGAAGGACATCAACCCTGCATATCTCTCATTTATGATGTATGATTTATCTACTGGATGCGAGCTTGCTTCTGATTCGTCCTCTATGTACTCGGAATTGGGATGTCTAATGAGCAAACCTCCATAACCTATCTCAGTGTAATCAAGTGGGGTTCCACTTTCATAAATCAGATCTTCTTCTGATGATCCTGAAAGATTAGATGACTGTTGTTCATAGAATATGGAGTATAAGTCCTTTGTCAGCTTTTCAACAGGAGAGACCTTTGGGTGAGTCGCAGATGTCCTTTTCTTGGATGGTACTAATGATTCCCAAACATTTGATTTTGCTGGACCTGAATATGTGATGGAAAAGCCATTTAGTGTCAAGTCTAAATTGATGATAATAGGAAAAGAAAATTTTCAAGTAACAAGTACTTCAACAACAAAGGCTGAATCAGACTTCCATTAGTGGATAACTCGTTCAAGTCTTTAACTTCTCATGTGAAAGTAACATACAACATAAATATTATCAGCATTTGCTCAAATTATGAGAATCAAGAAAATCGAGGATAATCAGGCACTGCATAATAAGGATGGTAAAGTACCTACAGATTATTTAAGGATGTGAAGAACTGAAAAATAACTTCAGTGATTGTAAGACTTCAGAGCATTTTGGTTAACTTTGATAAGGTTATTTTGAACAAAGAAGCATGCTTCAAGGAAGCCATCAGAAATGCTCATATAGAAGCCTAGGGAACATCACAAACAGCTCAACTGCTACCATTGCCACCGTCAATACCATCAGAACAAGTCAAAAGATCCCAACCATTTGGGGTAAACTACATGGACAGATTCCCTCCACCATAAGCAATCAAATCTCCTTGCAAAGTGTATTTCTTTACAAGCTTTGCTATATAAACTAGGACATACTCCATCAAGAATATTTTAATATTTTCCAATATCACAACTATTAACTCAAGATCAATATCTCACATCAAATGTTTTATCTTCGTTCACACTTGGCTTCCTATGAAATTATGTTGACTATGTATACAGAAAGTGGTATTCCAGAGCAATTTGGTT